GTATCGATGCCACAGCAGTGAGTTTGAGGAAGTGCTTACACCACCAAGAAACCAGCTCTCATCCAGCTAGGAGATGATAAACCGAAAAAACAAATGAACACACACACTCCCTGCCGCAGTCAAGCCTGACTCATGGTGACTCTTTCTGTAGGGCAGGGTAGACCTGCCCCTGTGGGTGTCTGAGACTGTAACTCTTTACGGGAGTATAAAGCCTCAACTTTCTTCCACGGAGTGGTTGGTGGTGTTGAGCTACTGACCTAGCCATTAGCACATCAACCCATAAGCTATACGCCACCAGGAGATGATCGATACGGGAAAACGATTTTAAAAGATGCATGATTAAAAGAAACTTAGCAGTGAAACCATGATATTAACCCCTTTGGGTTGCTATTCAGGATTTTGTAATATCTTAGGATCATTTTCATGGTTTTTGACTTTCTGATTTTTCAAAATTGGATGTGCATTGTAACCAGTGAAGTGGTCAGCACATAGCACTAGCATGATACCTGGCAAACAGTAGCTGCCCACTTGGTTGTTCTTTTTTCTTTTTTGTACAATGAACGAGCAAACTGGATGGGAGCCTAAAACCCAAAATCAGACAACTCCAAATGGGAAAAACTCACTTACTATGGATGAAACTTAGCCAAGAAAGGATCTCTCAAGCATTTGTGACCATTTGAAGAATAGTCTGATTTACCTCTATGATAATTTAAACATTATTTCATGTAATTAGACATTATTCACTAGAAATCAAACTAAATAACCACTCAGGTCATTTGTGTCCCCTTTGCATGCTTAGGTTGAGCAGAAGTGGACATTTCTGTCCCCTGGACAAGTCTTAGAACCAGCTCCTACAGTTTAATGAATGTTCTAACTTATTTTTAGTCTGTGAGTTTTGGTGGTAAATTTTTCACGGCCTTCTGTAAATACCCCATCATCTCAGGTGTCACCTTGTGAATCTATGAAACGATGAGTGGATGCTCACACAGTTCAGCAGCACTAAGCCTGGGCTTTTCTGAGAAACACAGCCCCAAACTCTTCCCAGCTGCCATCTTCCACCTGCCCATCACTTGGGGAGACTGTCATGTGGAACTACTGCAAGCCAACTATGAACCCCAAGTATCAGCCCATCCCAGGGAGTTTAGCTAGTGAGCTCTGTAGAGTCTTAGCATCATTCATTCTCTTGAAATCATCAGACCTTCATGGTTTTCCAAATCAGGACTAAAACTAATACTTTTAGGGTCTCTGATTTTTAGACAACCTCTCACTAAGACCGACGACGGGACAGAATGATCAAAAGGAATTGCGAACAGGGTGGTTTGTTTATGATGGATAATGAGCCACCAGAAATAGAGTTAAGGTAATATTAGGATAATGTGCTTCCTGTACATGATGGATGGTGTTGAGTCCAGCCTTTGTCTCCCCCAATACGAGTGATAATTCTGTGGCATTCATGAAAAGACATACAGTGGGCAGCCCTCATTCTGTCACAGCGTGGGTCTCCCTTCCATATACAAAGCCTAAGTCCCCTAAAGCTCCATTCCATGTTAGCAGACCTAACTCAATTTGTGGATTGCCCCTCTAGAGAGTTCAGCAAATAATGAACTCATCTCCCTATGCCCCTACTGAAATGCTTTATCTTTCAATCTAATTTTTAGAATTTGTCTTGATTAATACAGATTTACTCATACTTTTGCCATAAGTCATATATCTTGCAAATAGCTAACTGGAGTAATAACTCATGTATCTCCTAGAGAAAAAATATTTTCAAAATGGCTGGTGCCATATTCAGATGAAGGACTCTTCTCTGATATCCTAATGGTTCTTTCAAGCAATAGCTTTCCATGCACTTGTTCTTGTCTAGGATTTGTTCTATTCTGTCAATGTCATGGAAGAAAGGACACTAAGTATAGACGAAGCTGTTCTTCACTCGAGTTATTAACACTGGACAGCCGTGTTTTACAGAGTACCCCTCACCACACCGGTTGTGGCAAGTCAACTCCAACTCATGGAAGCCCCGTGTGTGTCAGAGGACAGGTGTGCTCCATAGGAATTCTAATGGCTAACTTCCTTGGGAAATAGATGGCCGGGTCTTTGTTCCAAGGTACCAGTGGGCGAACTCTCAAATCATCAACCTTTGCTTAGCAGGCAGGCACAAAATACAGTCTCTAGTAGTATCCTTTTCCATGAAATAACACATTTTAAAACCTGAAGAACAAGTAATAATATGTGCCAATACTTGTTTGCTAGCCTTTAAAGCTAGCAATTTTTGGTCCATTCAAAGTGGTAACAATAATAAGCAAAAAAGATACATTTTTCAATTTTACAAACACTGATTTTTTATTTCATTTTTACAAGCACTGATTCAAGATAGCCAAATTCCTCCATCCTCCCTTGAACCACATCACAGTGTCACTGTAAAAGATGAATTGTATATTGCTGTGAGGTATGTGGCCATTAAACTATATCCCCATGGAAACAGGAAACTGACTATGAACCACAACACTCAAGAGTAAACTGATTGGCAATGCAGTGGGTATTTAATAAGCTTATAGTGTTTTGATTTTTAAATTATATAAAAGTCACTTGCTGAATTTTCTACTCTGAGCACCTACCAGGATGTCTGGCACATAATTAGTGTCCAAAAAATGCCAATTGAATGAACAACTCAGAAATTTTTAATGACGTTGGTGGGAAAGCCTTCTTTGACTTGTCCACTAGGTGGCAAACAGGGACCATGATTCACGCATTCAACTGCTACAGACACTCCCATTCATAGAGTAAATAAAGGGCCGCATTATTAATTTATACCATCAGGTCGTCCACTCTACACTTAATATTTGTTTAACCAGCTGTTTCCTCTAATCCTCCTTAAACACTATTGATTAAAATCCTAAGTATGCCCAGGTCCTCACCCCTCCCTACATTCCCCCAAGTACATTCGGTTACCTTTAAATGACAGGCTAACTAAATTAGATGACATAGATTAAGTACCTTGGTTAGTAATAACAAAGGCAGGGTGTCAGAAATAATAATTAGAAGCAATATAAGATCACCATATAAAAGTGATTTTCAATTTTGCTTTGTATTTTGTTGGAATTTTAATGGTTGGAATACCATTATCTTAAAAAATGTCACATGTAATATAGAGAATGCCTGGGCAAAAGCCAATGGGGGTTGGGGGGGGCGGAACCTAGTATTTTCTGAAGAAAGCAATGTTTTTTCTGAAGCAGATTCTTATTCATCTTTATTACATTCCTTTAGCAGCTTCTACAGACTTCTTCGATTCCTTAGAAAAAAACAGCATTCTACCCCCCAATGGTCTAAAAGGCAGGACTCTTTAGTGGACTGTTTACTCCTAAAGTATCTTCTGCAGACTCCGCCCCTATTTATCCTGGATGTGTTACTTGCTCCCAAAGGAAGGGCAGGGAAACCACTAGGAACATAATGATTTGATTCTTCTCCGTGAAAGTCTCTTCAGTACTTCCAAATTACAGTGTCAGCCATACCTCTGAGAGACAAGACTGTGCTGAAAATAAATGGCTCACTTAATAAAGATTCCTACCCAGGAGTAGGAATCTCTGGGTAGCCTCCCCCCTCCCCTCAGTGAATCAGTGATCTCTTGAAGGTGATTTACTCTTGCCATTTAGTTAGCGTTAAGCAAAAGGGCTTCTCTTTGCCCACTTTTCCTGTTTTTATGATGCTTCCCTTCCAGATTAGTGAAGAGATTATCCAAACATGTAAACTTCAATAAAAATAAATAAATTATGATGAACAGATGAGAGACTTAAAACAGTCTTGTGGCATGCAAGCTATCTTCCTGCATGGAAGGCAAAACCTGATTGTATTTGAATAAATCAAGCTCTGGTTAAAAATCGATGTGAGGATTACAGGCGACTGCGCTCAAAGTTATTTAGAGAGAATGGCTGTGGTACATTTGGGTAGAACAGTATTCCACTAAAATACTGACCTCACTGGAGTGTGTTTAAAATTGCTGTGGATTTCGTACACTGAAGTCATCAAATAGAAATGATTACCAGAAACCACATTTGTAATGAATAACTATTATATTTCACTTAGAAAATTAATTCACAAGCTTCATTTCTTAAGACCTGTTACGAAGCCAGCCAGTCTGTTGGATTTTATGACATCACACTGGAACATGTACTGGAAGAGTTTCCACCCTAAAAATTCCAAAATGTACTGGCCACTTTGGGTATTTTTCCAAAGATAAATGTAAGCAATGCAACTAATTTTCAAAATAACAAGCCATTCTTATTTTGAACACTACAATTGTATTCAATCAAAAAACAAAAACCTAAGTCAAGCAAGCCCCCAACGAGGTGGGGTTTGCTTTTGGTAGTCAACAACCCAACATAGAAATGATCCCTTTAACCCATGTTCCCAAGTGTCCTTAACAACGACATTCCACAAAAATTTTAGCGCATGAAAATTACCATCAACAGCAGTCTAGATAGAAATGCATCATAGTTCTATGATCTTCATTTAATAAGTTACTAGAGAAACCTGGGTCCCAAAGGGTAACATCGCAAAGATTATTCATCTAACAGATCTACCTGGGACAACAGGAACTCTTCCTTCCCCATAGAAGCCTATGCATGTCTTAAAAGAAAACGCATTTGTCCTTCAGTCTCCACTCCCCTTTTTTGATTTCAAGTGCTATGAAAACGCTTGCTAAAGTACAGATGGAAAAGTCACCACTTGGAAACCTGGAACCCAGGTTTATAATAGCACAAGCCAAAAGCTGGATCCTAGACTTAATACTTTTCACAAATTTAGACTGAGTCCATGGAGTATGTTTCTGCGGAACTACACCTTAAAAATGAAAAGAATACTGTTGAGACATCATGTTAACCCAAATAAAAACTAAAAGAATCCAAACCATTATTTTTTAAAAGCATCCATCATGCTATGGACTCTTGTTTCCTGAAATCTTGATTGACCCAAAGAAGAAGGCATCAAAAGTGTGGCCGCTTTACCTTGTCCTGAAATCCAGAAGCTGGGATGTCCTTGAGTCCTGCTGGAGCTGCAACCTGCAGATCAAGTGAAGCTGGAGCTCTTGCCCCTCACCTTAAGTTGGTCTCTGGGTGAGTGTGTGTGCGCATGTGTGTGGTGTGTGTGCGTGCGTGCGTGCAGAATGTCTCTTTGTGGCTCTGGATGGCAGAGGTCCTGGTCCTAGGAAGAAGGAGGTACTTTCTCACCAAGAGCAGAAGAAAAGCAAAGCGTCACAGGGAAAGTTCTACCAGATCCCCTAATTACAGCCTAACGTGCGCTTCTTGCAAACTTCAGGGAGGAAGGGAGGGGACAGCGCAGTGCCCAGACCTTGTGAAACAGCAGGCCCTTAGAAGACTCCCCTCTCCCGCTCAGATCCCAGAGTGTCCCGCTCAGGGGTTCAGGAAAAGCGGCAGCTGCAACCACAAGCCCTCCACCCACACCACACCTCCTGCACCGTCGCCCTCTTAAATCTGTCCAGAGTGGGTGGGGAAAGGGGGTTAGCGAGATGATCTGGGCGGGGAGGCCGCCTTCGGGGGCAGACTGGCCAGGACACTTTTCGCTCAGTTTCTGTTGTTTGTGTGCTTGTTTGTTTTAGAAGCCTGTGCTGAAAAGGAAACTCCAAGATTAGGAGAGGGCCTCTCTTTCCCTCCTTCCCTCTACCCCCAGAGTAGATTGAGATAACAAGGCAGAGGGACAAGGATGAGCACAGCAGATAAAGTTTCCAAAGCTGCAGGTTTCCTCCCCTCCAAATCGCCAGAAGCCTGTTCTTCCTGTTCTCCTGGAACAGGATGATAGGTTATAACCTCCCTTAACAAACAACAAACAAACAAACACAGAAAACAACCGCGATTGCCTCCCTGTTTGCTAGACCTGGAAGGACCTGGGGATGTGAATAGAAGGAGGCATGCCAGGGGGCGAGGAGACGGGTCGGGCTGGGCTAGGGATCCCTCCCCAGGATTAGAACCAGATGGGCACGGGGCGCTTGAGCACACCCTCCGGCCCGCAGCCCTAAAATAACCACCGAGGAAGATGCTGGGACCCACGGGCAAACGCCTCCTGAACAAATAGACGTTTATTTATAACTCCGGAGAGTCTATAGGTCCATTGATTCCCGCCTTGAGTAACCAAGGGTTTGGGAGAGGAAATGGCTTCATATTTCAATAACAGAGCCACCTTTGATGGAGCCTTAAGAGGGGGGGCAAAAAGCAACACTCCGCAGGAAGCCCAGGGCTGGAGAAGCCGCCGGAGGCGTGAGCGGAGCCGGCTCCGGGGCGCAGGACCAGCCGACCAGCCTGAGGGGCCCTGAGCCCAGGGGAAGGCTGGCAGGCCTGCCGGGGAGGCGGAGGTGCCAAGCGCAGTGCGCGCAGGAGGCTGGGGCCGGGCGTGCCACCTGGCCGCCAAGGGCGCAATGGGGCCTGGGCCCCGGGCACCCGGGCAGCTTGGGGCCCGAGAGCCGGCGGGGGCGAGAGAGAGAGCGCCTAGGGCAGAGGAGCTCTGGAGGCAGGGGCTTCCGGGTGCGCACGCAGGTGGAAGCCGACTGGTGGGTCAAGGGCACCCACAGGGCCGGCGGGCCGAGGCCGCGGGGAGCGGTGGCCCAGCGGGGACAGATGCGGCGGGCAGGC